AGCGCTATGAATCTAAGGTCTACTAAGGAGACAACTATATGTCGGAGTGATATCCATCACATGGAAGTCTATGTTAAAAATAGTAGGGCCAATTTGGATTGGTAGACTAATCTCCCCCACTACTTCACGTCTTGATCCATCAAAGGCTCTAACAATTGTACTACTCGGGCGCATGTGGGTTCCTTGTACTGTTATCTTGTCAAGTGTGCATTTAGGCATAACATTTAAGAATGACCCATTATCCACAAGAACTTTGGAAATGAGATATTTCTTGCATTTGACAGAAATATGCAAGGGCTTGTTATGATTTGACCCTTCTCAAGGGAGTTCTTCATTTGTGAAGGTAAGATGATCATTGGTTGTAATGTTACCAATGATTCCTTCCAACTTGTCTTGGGATATTGCATGCGGGACGAATGATTCATTCAAAATCTTTAACAGTGCATTTCGATGCGGCTCTGAACTCATTATAAGTGATAACAAAGTTATCTTTGCAGGAGTGCGATTGAGTTGGTCGATGATGGAGTACTCACTTTGTCTTATGTACTGGAGTAACTCATCTGTCTCCTCCTTGGATTTTTTTTCCTCTTCGGCCTTAATTTTTTACCTTATCTTTAGGAATATTATCTTGTAATTCCTTGGGGGAATATATTCTTCCGCTTCTAGTCATGCCCTCAATACCGGCTATGTTGGAGATATCTTGATCGACTAGTGATTCTTCTGCGTATCTCCAAGGTATAGCTTTATTTGATGAATAAGGGAAAGGAAGAGGCATGAATAAACGTAAAAGTGTTATTGCCTCTTCCCTTTTATCGATTGGAATGACCAACGGTGCTTGTTTGTTATTATCTTTGGGTTTATCGACCATTGCAGAGATTTTGATGACGAAAGGCTTCTTTTCCATTTATTCTGATTTGTGGAAAGCACATCAATTCATCCTTTCTTTTTATTATCTTTTATTTAAAATGAGGAGGGATGTATGAATGTATGCAACTTATGAATGCAATAGACAGTTTAAGGATAATCCTTTTTTATTTTATCTAGAAAGTGTTCATCCCTCTATACAATGCTTTGAAGTAAGTGTTGACAAAAACGAAGAAGCTTGAAGATCCTATAGGTAAATTAGGCTTTCTTCGTAATTCATCTTCAGCTACTCTCACATGATTTTTTAGCGTCTTAACTTGCTCATGTACCGCCTAGCTCATATTTTCACTATATCGTCGAGCCTCTTTTATCTTTTCTTCCTAATGAACGATCAAGGCTTGTTGTTGGTTAGACCTCTCTATTACTTGGTCTCTTTCACGAAGTAATTGACCATACTGAGCTAATCCATCTCTTTCTTTATCATGTAGCTCATCCAGGCTTTCTTTATATCTTTCAGCGGTTTCCCACCACTTTTGTGCTTCTGAGCGAGTTTCTGCTAGGTCATCTTGTATTAACTTGATCATTTTTTCCTGTTCTGCAAGCGCACTCTCAAGATGTGCTATTTCATCATTCATGTCCCGGAATAGACTATCTTGTTCAAGCCTCGGAATTTTCAATGCTTGTTTAGTCTCTTCTTGATAATTAGCACAATCATTCTTAAGACGCTCTATCTCATTATCCTTCTTTTTACATTGCCTTTTTAAACCATCTATTATAAGGGTTGATTCTTGCTCTTTTTCTTCAAAAGCCCTTAACTGAGCTTCCATTACTTATACCCTTTTATTTAAGGCATTGACCTGCAATTGTAGCTCTTCATTAACTAATGTTGTAGTGAATGTAGCAAATGGTTGGGGTATCCTTCTACTTTTTCTCCACTCCTCGTATTCATGGGACGTAGACACCTGAACTTTTCCGAGTTCTTTATCTCCTATATAGACTGGTCTTTCCCATGCTTTTCGAACAACAGATTCTTCTTCAAAGTTATGGGAGTAATGACATAAACTCATCCCTCTGAGCTCTTCTTGAGTTGGCACATTCTGGGTTCTCATGAGTTGTCTCATAGCTATCTTGGGAGAGTAAGCTATGAAACCCCTGAGGCCTAGTAGTGGTATGCTTAGGTAATCTCTGCATCGTATAAGAATATAACCGGGTCGGAACCAAGGGCAAACCCATGATACATGCTCTATTTTCCAGTTTTCTAACTCGGTTTTCCATTCTAAAGCTTGATGATGTTGAAGAGGGATTTTCGACAAACTCCTTAAAGGATCAGGGAATATGCCCATGTAGCTTGAAGCGAAGAAGTGAGTAATGCCCCATACATATAGTAATGAAGTACAAAGTTTCTGTCGGCAAAAATCTACTAAAAGCAGGGTATCGGCGAGAATTGCAGGTATAGGACTCTTAGAGTATACATCCCAGGCAAAGAATGCATCTATTGCAGCATGATCCATAACATTCACATCCGAACATTGCTAATGCTAGAGTTTTATTGAAGGTAGACCAATCTTTCTTTTTAGCCAAAGAGATTAAGTGGTCTTCTATTATTGACATTTTCCAACCTCGGATGTTCCCTTTTCCCTCTAGGATGGATTGATGAGGAGGCAATCGTATAATAGTAGCAACCTTATTCACAGAAACATATACTCCTGAGCAGACATAGACCCCGACTGACTGAGGCCATCTAACCATGAGTTCATATTCTTCTAAGGTTGGTACTTAATCAAATTGCGAAAATTCAAAGTAGTGCAGGTCGGGATTCCAGAAGTGGACCAATGCTCTAACAAAGATAGGATCAATGCTGATTTTCAAGAGGTCAAGAATCCTTCCATAAGATTTCTCAAAATTAGCACTGACCTCCGGCGGCATATATGTACACAACTGCCTTAGCTTCTCTACACGGCATAGAAGGATTTCCACTTTCTTTAACTGTCTATTACTGGATCCCTCCATTATCTAAAAGAAATGAAAAATGCATGATATGAGGATGAGTCTTTGTAAATGCATGCATGCAAGTGTTTGTTCTTTCTAAGTATTATCATGTTTTATTCTTAGTATGATACATGATAGTGCTTGGTTTTTCTTGAAAAGGAAACTATCTATATGAATGTTTATGGATTTTGATGAAGAGAGTCCTATTTTCTTCTCTTATGATTTTTATGAACAAATATTGTATGAATAATAATCCTTTGTCAAAAAAAATCTTTTTATCGTAAGAGGTATTTTTATTGGTTTAAATTGTTTTTTATATTTTGTATAACCCTTTATCTCTTCTGTTGGTCAATGTGGCTACTTAGCTTACAAAGAAGCTGAAACCAGGCTAGCTTAAATGAAGACTGTCCGAGATAAAGTTGGTTTATTCTTATCACTTTTATGCTTTTTAGGATTTTTATTATTTTTTCCTATTGTATGATTACCCTATGCTAATGCATCAATACAAATGCAGCAAACGAATGCACACACAATTCATTCATCCACGAGCAAAGTCATGCTAATTTCGAGGTAGGGTTTTCCTGCAGAAACGTGCTTTGTTTAGGCGGTTCTAAACTGTTCTCACCAAGGCCAAAGGTCCCCAAGGTGCCCCCATTATAGGGACCTCTCAATCTCTCAGTCTTCAGATCGTGCACGGAACTCCGTGTCGACATCCTGGGACCAAAAGAAGAGAGTTATCACCTTGAGTTGGTGGTTTTCCGACAACGGTTGTAGCCCCGTGTACCAACAAGCCGGTCGTATCTGCCACCTACTCCCTATAGGTATTCACTCTTGCCCCCGGGTATAGAGGGATTGTTGTGTGCAAGGGTTTTTGTGTACAGTTTATATTTCAGACAATTTGCAGAAAATAATCACACAGTAGTTATTAAAGCCATACAATAAAACATACAACGGAGGGTAAAGGCGTAATTTCAAACCTTTACTTAGTTTGAATTTATCCGTCACTAAATGGAATCAACTCTCTAGCTTCCCCAGTGGAGTCGCCATCTATCGTCGTCGTCCATTCCGACGTCTAGGGACATCTCGAACGTTTATGTGAACTGTCGCGAAAAGATGGTTTAGACTTGCGTTTTATTCTAAAAATGTGTTCATTGCTTCCGAGGTGCTCAACAACTAAACTATCCTCTAATAAAAGCAAGGTTTTCGCAAAAGGGTTCTTATGGAGTCGCCACCAATGTTTTGACCATAAACATTGGAAAAGGATAAAAAGGCGTTGATTTTAAGAAAAACTAAACTTGGCCATTATAACCAGAGTTAGGTAAGGGAGTTAGTTACGCGTGGGGAATGTGTTAGCACCCCCACGACGCCCCTTTCGGGTTCCCTATGACTGATTGATTCATAAAGTAAAGATTAAGAGAAATTACGCTATTACCCTATTTTATTATATAATATTAAAAAATGATTATCTACATGATTCTATTTTCTATTCCATACATAAAGAAATAAATAAAGCAACAAAAGAGAAGAGAAGTGAAAAGAACCTCTATAACAAGCTTTTTTATTATAACTCTTCAACTGTGAGGATGCGTTTTGGAAATCCCCCGCACTACAAGGACTCTCCTCCCCGAATACAAGACTGACTCTACTAAAATTCTAAGAAGAATCGAATGCCGGAAGAAACTTCCTTAACCGATTGTTACCTTATAAGCAATCGGAGAGTTCATTCGAAAGAGGGAAAGAAGAGAAGAGTGAGGTGTGTCTAAAAACGCTCAAATGAGCTCCTATATATAGTTTTTCAGCCTGGCAGCTCAGGACGGTCGTCTGGGGTGCAGAAAACAGGGACCGCCGTCTGTAGAGGTCGGGACGGCCGCCCCAGATCCCAGACGGTCGTCCCAAGTGTCAAAATTGGGTGAGACGGCCGTCTGGCATGTGGGACGGCCATCTGGACTATCTGGGACGGCTGTCCTGGCTTCTGGGATGGTTGTCTCGAGTGTTTTGGCCAGATTTTGTGTTCTGGGACTCCCGAGAAGCTTTCCTTTCCTCAGACGAAAGTCGATTGATGCCGATAGACATCCATCGAAGCTTCATCCTTAGATAGAAAGTCTTCTTAGCCTTTATTGAGCGACCGGGCAAAATTAGGGGTCTACATGGCCCACCCTATCCTTGCCCATTCTTGGTCTCATCTTCCAACTGCTCATACAATTATCCCTTCATCCACCACACGGACCCCGTCACCACTTTCCCTTCACGTGGCAATCCCTTACTCGCATCCTCCACCTCCCGCACCTGCTCCTCACCTTCACTTCCTAATTACATTTCTAGTCATTCATCTGCAGGGCCCACACAAGTTTCCCCATTTATCATTTCCTCCTTCCCCATCCTTCACTCAGAGAGTTATGCTAATCTTTGTAGACCCATGGCAGCAAAATACTCTTTTCTCTTCTCCTTTGGCAGACCCTGTCACCCTCACCGTTAACCTCCTCCTCTCCTCTGGCCCAGATCTTTCCCAAATCCACTTTTCCTCTGCTCCATTCGCTTCTCTTTTCATCACCTCCACACAATTTTTTTCTCCACCCGCACTCAACCAACAAATACCCATTTCTCACTCACAGACATCTCCTTCCAAATCTACCGGAGTCCGCCTATCACCATATTCACCTCTTTCCCCATTTTTCTCTGCATCTCACACTCCTCCAATCAACCACCGGAATCACTGTGCCTCAACAACCCAAACCCGTTGCCACCGTCACCGCGGGAGCCACCCCCCCACGCATCTTCTCCTTGCAGCCCCATTCACGTCCCCTAATCAAAAGCCCCAAACACCCGCTCCTATTTGACCCTAGCCACCTTCCACAACCACCGTCTTCACTGCGCACCACCAATCGCCTTCCATCTGGACCCTCCCCCCCAACCCCCAATCACAACCACCGTGAGCCACCACTACCAACCACCGGGATGAGCCCCTGCGGGAGTCCCTCCTCATCGCACCGCCAGCGATCCATGTGCTTCCCGTGAGCGGCGCGCCTCCAATGCAGTGTCAACCAGCGAAACCCTAGGTCACATTCACACCAATCTCGTTCATCTTCCTCCTTGGTTCGGATCCCTTTCACTTGATGATTTTTATCTAGTCCTTATTCTTCTTTCCAGATTGAGTTAATCTTGATTGATCGGATATGTTGTTTTGCTTTGGGTTAATCTTGATTGATCAGATATATTGTTTTGCTTGTTTGCTGATGTTGGATCTGACCTTGTTTGGCTTGGATTAATGCTCTTTGAGAGTTGGGAAGTTAATAGGATTTTATCTGAGTTTGGTATGTATTGTGGCTGCCTGGTTTTGTTGCATTTAGTGTATATATTTGCCTTGGTTTGTTTGATTGTGTTCCCCCGCGTCCCTAATTATGGATTTAAGTGGCATTTAATTATAGGTTCTCATGCGTTGTTATAATTTTAGATGGCTTTGCTTGGGTGGTGATTATATAGTCTAAGATCCGATTATGGGATGGTTGTTCTGTTGTGGTTCCATTTGGATTATCATCGGATTGTGTTTGGACTATTTAGGCTAAACTGCACACAATTTGTGCGATTCAGATTATGTGACAACTTAATCAGATTAACCTTTAATATTATTTATGTCAATGTTGTAAGTACTACATCAAATAACTAGATAAGTACTGCATAATTACTGGATAAATACCTTGGAAAAAAATGTATTAGAAAAACATAAGTACTGCATCAAATAAAGTGAATAATGTAGTTTCATTTATACTAATTGTTGTAGTTAATTTGCAAGAATGGAGATCCCCGTTAGTAGAATGTGGATGTATCAAAGAATGGATGGTAACAAACATTTAACAGATGAATTTAGAGAAGGAGTGTATCATTTCCTACAATATGTTATTGCTCAACCTATGTTTCAAGAACAAGGTGAAATGTTAAGATGTCCTTGTGTTAAATATAAGTGTAAAGTTTTCAAGTTTGTTGATCAAGTTGCATGGGATCTTTATCAAGAGGGATTCATGCCTAATTATTATTGGTGGACAAACCATGGTGAAGAGTCGCTGGAATTTCCCGCAGTGGTTGTTGAGAGATCACATGGAACTTTTCAACAAAGGGAAGAATTAGGTCCTTTCCATCAAATGATTATGGATCATGTCGGACCCTCACTTGGACACTAACTTCAAACCGAGAGTGAAATTAGAGAAGAGGACACTGCAAAAAATCCTAATCTTGATACTAAAAATTCTTTGACATGCTTGTTGCTGCGCAAGCACCGTTGTGGGAAGGATGTACACATCACTCTAAGTTGTCAGCATTTTTGGAAGCTCTAAGCTTGAAATTTGATTATAATATGGTTGAAGGATGTTTTAATAGAATGGTCCAATTTATGGGAGAGACTATGCCAGAAGATCATCGAATGGCTGCGAATCTTGACCAAGCTAAGAAGTCGGTGATAAAATTGGATTTGGGTTGTGTCAAAATTGATTGTTGTCCAAACGGATGCATATTGTATTATAATGAAAATTCATTCGAAAGTATAACTAATTGTTTTATATGCGGAATGGATCGATACAAGATTGTCACAAGGAGGGGAGTTAAGAAAAAGATTTCTATTAAAAAAATGTGATACTTTCCAATTATTCCTAGACTTAAAAGGTTATACTCTTCAATGGCCACTGTACCTCACATGAGATGACATAGCGAGAATGAAAAGGACCCCAGTATTATGTGTCATCCATCGGATGGGGAAGCTTGGAACCAATTTGACATTGTTCACCCAGAGTTTAGTCAAGACCCAAGAAATGTCAAATTAGGGTTATGTGCAAATGAGTTTAATCCTTTTGGTTAGTATGACAAAATTTATTCTTGTTGGCCGATTATCCTAACTCCATACAATCTTCCACCTACCATGTGCATGAAGAGAGAATTTATGTTTTTGACAATTTTAATTTCAGGTCCTTCAAATCCAAAGCATAAGATTGATGTATTCTTGCAACCACTTATAGATGATTTGTGCACATTATGGGATGAAGGGATATTGACTTATGCTATGTCATTGAGGCAAAATTTTATGATGAAAGCTGCTTTGATGTGGATAATTAATGACTTTCCAGCTTATGGCATGTTATCGGGTTGGACGACTGCTGGTGGACTTGCTTGTCCTATATGTATGGAAAGAACAAAGGAATTTTCTCTTAGTCATAGCTACAAGATCTCCTATTTTAATTGTCACTGTCAATTTCTTTCACAAGATCATCCATTTAGGAGGAATAAAAAGGCATTCAAAAAGAAGGTTGTTGAGACTGGTCCCCCTCCTCCACGTTTATCTAGTCTTGATGTCTGGAATAGGGTGGCACACTTACCAGTTTGCTATGAATTACAACAAGTAGACAATATTGCAGGATATGGTATTACACATAATTGGAAGAAACAAAGTATTTTTTGGAGGTTGCCTTATTGGAAAACCCAACTTTTATGTCATAATATTGATGTTATGCACACAGAGAGAAATGTGTTCATGAATGTGTTTGACATTATCATGGATATAAAAGGCAAAACTAAGGATACAGACAAGGCTCGATTTGATGTAGCTGAAATATGTAATAAAAAAGAGCTAGAGTTGAAAGACATTGAACGTGGAAAACTTATCAAACCAAAGGCAGCATATGCTTTCACCAAATCCCAAAGACTCTCTATTTGTAAGTGTGTTAAAGAACTTAAGTTGCCATATGGATATGCTTCCAATTTGGGTAGATGTGTCGACATGAATCAAGGGAAGTTACATGGTATGAAAAGTCATGACTGTCATGTGTTCATGCAACTATTGCTTCCAATTGCATTTGATTCATTTCAAAAATCAATTTGGAAAGTACTCGTTGAACTTAGTCTTTTCTTTAGAGAATTGACTTCCACAACACTAAATGTTGAACACTTACGAGTTATGGAAGAAAACATACATGTCTTATTGTGTAAATTGGAGCAAATATTTCCACCAAGCTTCTTTGATTCAATGGAACATCTTCCAATTCATCTACCTTATGAGGCAAATGTTGGTGGTCCAGTTCAATATCGTTGGACATATCCTTTTGAGAGATATGTTTACACTAACTACTCACCCTCCATTTCTAAAGTATTTTATATGTTCTTGAAAGACTCCATTTTTGTATTTTTTTTTTTTAGATTCTTACACTCCCTAAAAAAGAAAGTGAAGACTAAAGTTAGGGTGTAGGGCTCTATTTGTGAAGCTTACTTGGTGGAAGAAACATCTACATTTGCCTCATTTTATTATCCTGATCATGTTGAAATAAGAAGGACTAGGATTCCTAGAAATGTTGATGTAGGTGAAGGTTCTTCATCCCCTCCTCCTATTTCAATTTTCAACTACCCATGAAGATCACTTGGAAAATCCCAAATATATTTTCTGCACCAAAGAGACTATGATGCTGCCCGATTATATGTTCTTCAAAATTGTGAAGAGGTTCAACCATACTTTGAGTAAGATGTTTTCACTCCTCTCACATCAAAATTACTCATGTTACTTTGTGTGGTTTGAGTAATTTGTTACTTGTTTGCAGCATTTATATTGAATATTTAAGAGAGTTCAATCCTACTATTTCTGGTGCCCAAATTGACCAAGACATTTCATCCCCTTTTCCTAAATGGTTTAAAAAATATGTAAGTTTTTTAATTATATGTCTTACAAATATGTATTCTTACTTACATAGTCTAATGTGTAAAGGACTTTGTTGTCTTTAGGTTCTAAATCCAGAAAATAATATTGAAGATCCATTATTGGTTAATTTGGCATGGGATCCCAAGAGAAAAGTTGAATCATGGCCTATGTATGTTATCAATGGATACAAATTCCATACTATTGTTTGGAGTGAAGGCATGAATTCCTGTAACTATGGTATTTACGTACGAGGAACCAATGGTCAATTAGAGTCATATTTTTATGGATTATTGCCTAATATTATTCAATTAGAGTATATTGGCTTGCCATTGATGAATTTAGTTCTCTTTCAGTGTGAATGGTTCGACAATACTCTTAATATAGGAACCAAAGTAGATAATAAGTATGGAATCGTGGAACTAAAGCAATCACGAAAGATATAATAAAGCATATGATCCTTTCATATTTGCATAACAAGCAGAACAAGTTTATTACACAAGTTATCCAGAGGGACACCAAGGTTGGATGGGTGTAATAAAGACAAAATCTCGTAGTAGAATCATTGATAATATAGTAAGTCAAGTTGAGCATGAGACTCCATACCAAGATGATGAGCTTGTAGGACTTCAAGTAGTGCTTCATGTTGATCCTAACATCATTGATGATTCCCTTGCTAATGTTAATGGTGGGGAAGAAGAAATATAGATGAAGATGAGGAGAAATATATTTCAAGTGAGGATGAGATTGAGAGTAATTTTGATGATACAAATGCTTCAGTAATTCATGCATTAAAATTATTTTTACAATTATTAAATTTGATTGTACACCTTTATTTAATGTTGCATATATATATATATATATATATATATATATATATATATATATATATATTGATATGATTATGATTTAATTATTTGTAGTGAATGAGTGGTAAGTTAACTAACACGTTTGGGTGTAGAAAACAAAATCAGGTAATTCATTGTCTCAATTGTTTAATTTTATGCATGTAACATATGTAATAAGATCCACTTGTAGATGTCATAAAAGGGTAGAAGTGGTGATCGTACACCACCTCATCATGGTGGTCGAGGTGTACTTGTTGATGATAGAGGTTTACCCAACACCAACTCTCCTAGTTCTGTTCGACCAAGATCCATGGAGTCTACT